TGGTGAGGCTTGTATCCATCCCGTTGCTTGTAACCATCCTACCAGCACAAGGATGTCCACTTGTGCAGCAGAACGCCCCCCACTCCATGGGTCCTTATAAAAATTGCAGTGTAGATAGGAGAATATGGGTAACTTTTTGACTGAAACGCTTTTGCAAGGACAAACTTTCAAATGCCAAAGTAACCTAGTAAATCAATCTTCCATAATAGCTGATAGCAAAGCATTGAACCCACCCATTGAAAATGATTTCCTGTATCTTGGAGTATTTAATGTTGCAAAATAGCTGGCCTTAGACTTAAAAGATACAGCGGTGAGCAAATCCCATTTGCCAGAGCTAATATATTTTGCAAGTTAAGATCTGGAAGTCTCTGTTTAATGCTGCCGGTTGCTTTTTCTAACTTTCTGAATACTTGTCCTATCTTCAATTTAAAAGAAGGTGGAAAGGACACTGGGCCAACCAATTTACGTTTTATTATTTCCTGGAATGTCTGTAAGGGTAACATAACAATTCAGTGCTTCTGAAGTTACATGCAGCTGCTGGGGAAAGGGCCTGTTTTTCTTACCTATGTTTTACCTGGTGTGCAGTCCTATGCAGGTCTACTCAGAAGTAAGCCCTGTTTAGTTCAGTGTAATTTACTCCCAGGTAAAAGTGTGTAGGTGTGCAGCTTATAAAAACATACATGTATGTATGTATGTTTTTATCAGTAATGAAATGCTTTTGAATTCAAGGCTTGATATCAGTGGTGAAATATTTGTGCTTTTATGAATGACTATCAGTGACTTACCAGAAAACTCTCATTCTTTTGTTTTTATTTACATTTGTCTAAGGCTTTATGTGCTTCTATTGAAAATGCTTCCATTGTGATCAATAGGGACAAAATAGGGCTTAATATAAGCTAACTTTTTTTTAAAGTGGATGTGAGTTTCCACAAATCTTCCTTTACCAGTTTTAAGCAATTACGGTATACTGAGTGCAATTGGGGCTTGAAATGAATAACATGTGATCAAATATAGTATTGTGAGTAAAACGTCTGATTTAATGGGCACCTATGAGTTGTTGAATGAAACCATTCGAAAATATTATGCAAGTTATACAATATCTTTCACAGTAATTAAAGTTTGTGATTAGAGGGTTAGATTCAAAGGACTATTTTGAAGGTTTTTTAAGGGGACACCTGTGATATAATAAGGCTATTCCTGCTTCAGCCCTGAATGAAACTTCTTGTTGTTGTTTAGTCGTTTAGTCATGTCCGACTCTTCATGACCCCATGGACCAGAGCAAGCCAGGCACACCTGTCATGTTGGTAGCTTCGAGAATGCTGTCCAACCATCTCGTCCTCTGTCGTCCCCTTCTCCTTGTGCCCTCCATCTTTCCCAACATCAGGGTCTTTTCCAGGGAGTCTTCTCTTCTCATGAGGTGGCCAAAGTATTGGAGCCTCAGCTTCAGGATCTGTCCTTCCAGTGAGCACTCAGGGCTGATTTCTTTAAGAATGGATAGGTTTGATCTTCTTGCAGTCCATGGGACTCTCAAGAGTCTCCTCCAGCACCATAATTCAAAAGCATCAATTCTTTGGGGATCAGCCTTCTTTATGAAACATATTGGCTACCTCATTAATAATCTGGGTACAAAACAAAAACGTAGGCTATTAAATTTTGATACAAACTGTTTTGTGGCAGATGTATTTATGTTTTCTAAATTATATTTCCATTTTCAGTGTCATTTACAGACTTGTCCACAATATTATATGATACAAGTTATTAGGTTTACTTTGTGATAATATTTACCACAAAATTATTGCTTACCAAGTTTATTCAGCAGCTGTTACTTCTGAGTAAATCTGCATGGAATCAGACAACTCATAGGGAATCAAAAGCACGCTTGCTTAAAAGCAAACCACTGAAATAAGTTTCTGGGTTTGTGGCGCGATCCTATGCATATTTCCTCAAAAGCTAGTCTTACTGTATTCATCAAGACTTCCTCCTCCTAAGCAAGCATATTACAGTCATAGGAAGAGGTTTGTGGAATTAATGCTTATTTCTGGTACACCAAATGCTTGTTTCTAGTACATCAGAGTAAAACTATCTCCTTTCAATGAAGAAATCTAGAACAGTTTCAGTTGTTCCTACCAATATATACCAAACAATAAGTTCAAAATAACACTCCTAAAGCCACTGAATAAAGATGCCTCTGCAGCATAATGGGAAACTGCTCTTTAACCTTTTGACCTTGCTGAGCATAAAAGGAGCTAGCGTTTCAGTATCATGACAATCTCTGCATGCTGGCCTTTCCAACAGATGGAAGTTTACTTTGGCCTTATAAAGTCATTTTGCTCAGCTGGAAGCCCTTGTCGCATGACAGATGATCAAAAATAGACCCACTGCAGCTTGTCCTGTCAATCACCACGTGCAAAATGGCATAATAGTGGGGCGCCTGCAAGGAGTTCATGCATATTGTAAACCAAGAGGTTCTAAAGGGATAGTGTTTCATAATTCTCCACCTGTTAGTTGCTTGGCTTTAAAAGAAACAAATCACAAGAGCTTAAGTAGGAGTACATTCATTTATGCGTCTCCCTTCTTTAACAAGGATACAGGAGCCATGATGACTGTGCTTCTGTTGACATGTAGAGAAAGATAGAAGGTAGTTTGTTAGTTTTAGTTTTGTTCTCTTTCCAACCAATATTATAAACTGAACTTCACATGATTGCTAAAGACTGTCTTCTCTGTTAGATTTGACAGAAGCAAACCTCATGAATTATCTGTGTTTAAGCAAACGGTATAAGCAAATCATCTTTTTGTGTAGCTTAAAAACATTGCAACAAGAATGCAAAGTTATTATTTAGATGGGCCTTAGATACACAGAAGGTTCAGGCAAGAGGATTCAACATAAAAACTGATGAATCGCTATCACCATTAAAAAATAAATAAATCTGTAAAGGTCATTGATTAAGATTCAGTTTTGTTGCTCTGTTCTCATCTGTTTCTCCATGTATCACTAACACTTTGCAGTTCTCCCATCACGGACAGTGGGAGATTGATGATGTAAATATATTTTTTTCTTAGTTAAACTGTTAACATTTCAATGCTTGAGGTGCAGGCATTGAAGGGGGAGTGATTAGTTGCTAAACAGGCAAATTTTCACTTTTAAGATAGTGGGGGGAAATACTTTTCGAAGTTGGTCGCATTCTTCAGCTGAAAATATTTTATTTCTTGGCAACTTTAAATGAAAGTAATTTTTATTTAAACATATTCTCATTAATCTTAACTATATTTATATAGGGTGACCAGGTGGAGCTGACTTGTGCAACAGCTGGAAAGGAAATCTTTTGACATTGCATGAGACATTGAAAGCTTTTATTCTGCATCTGGAGCTCTGTGTGTGTGCGTGTGTGTCTGCTGGATCTCCTTAGAGTTGCACTTCATGTGGATAGAAGGGTTCCCCCGCCCCCATACAGTTTCAGCTGCAGGTCAAAGCTTTGAAGGTGGTACTATTAATGTAAAAATAATACATTTTGGGTTTCCTGTGATATGAAGGATCCCTGTGTCTATTTTTTATAACAGGTGGAGAACTGAGAGCTGGGTTGCTAGTGGCTAAGGAATGTGAATTGAAGAGTCCATCTTTCAAATCTCAGCGATATATTTCCTTTGGAGTCATAGGGAAATAATTACTTCAGTTTCAGCCATACGTCCACAATAACATTGCCTTGCAGAGTGGTCTTGTAAGCATTACTGAGATGATACATGAAGCATGTTGCGTACTCAGTATGCTATGTAAATGCTGTATTTTTGAGTGTGGCAGCATTGCTACAAATATCAACATTATAGAATCATGAAAGAGACTCCGAGGGCCATCCAGTCCAACCCCCTGCGATTAGTCTGATCAAAATTAGTCTGACTGTACTACTGAGCACGCGCGCACACAAGAAGTGACATTTCACAATGTGGAAGATAATAAATAATGTATTTTAAAACGGTGAGGTTGCTCCTCACAATATTATTTTTTTCTGCTTTTGTTAAACACTAGATCTTCCTGAATATAATCCTGCCCCTACCCATTCCAAAGCATTGTCTTGTATAGAAATAAACAAGCTGGCACAAAGCAGGACACCAGTGGCCAGATTTGTCACAACAGGTTTGACTCTCATGGCCTTAACCTTTCCAGAAGTGTGGTGCACATTTGCCTAGGGACCACTGTTGTGTATTTTAATGGCATCTATGTAGCTTCCCCTCAATGGCCTCTTGTGACGGAGTGAATTGCACTATAGTTCCGTTTGAAAAGTGTGATTCTTGCTGTGTTTACCACACTTGTGAACTTCTATTTAAACTCCTTTGTCGCCTGTGTTGTTGATTTTTTTTGTTTTGTTTTTTGTTTTAATAAGGGTGACTGAGGTTGCAGAGAAATTAATGTGTGCTGAGTCTGCATAGCAATTCAAGTAGGGTTGCCACGATACAAAATGATTATTTCCTCAGATCCGTGTAAATGCCTACAGGAAACGTGCAATGTAAAACTAAACATGTAACATAACTACAAAAAAAAACACACCTGATAATACAGTTCATGGAGCTAAGAATTTTATAAGTGCTCACTAGCTTTGCTTAGCAAGTATTGTGGGGTGGGGGGAACCTGTCACTTCCCATTGAATTTAAAACCCTGTGTTCTCCAGTCTCATAGCTAGAAATTTCATTTATTCCTTCTTTTAATAGATGTCCTACACATCTCAAGGTCCCTCTAAGTATTTAAAATTATTAGTAACATGTTTCATAGTACTTACTATCAGCTGCTGTTAAATCGGCACTAACACTGTGGTGGTGATTATGTTCTGATTTTAGTAAGACCTTTCCCTTTCGGCTCTTGCTTAGACAATCAATTTGTCCATCGAAATTGGTTATTGTGGCAACCCTATGCATATAACAACAACTAAATTTGAGTTTGTTTTTAAGTTCTGAAACTGGAAGTAAGGTTTACTTGTGAGATCTAACTTTCGCCTTCTGTCTTTCAACAGGATCCCTGCTCATTATGTATATCCACAAGCTTTTGTGCAGCCAGGAGTAGTCATTCCACATGTCCAGCCTACAGCAGCTGCTGCCTCCACCACACCTTACCTTGACTACACTGGAGCCGCATATGCTCAATATTCAGCTGCAGCAGCAGCTGCTGCCGCTGCAGCCTATGACCAGTATCCCTACGCAGCATCCCCAGCTGCTGCAGGATATGTCACAGCCGGGGGTTATGGCTATGCAGTCCAGCAACCAATCACTGCAGCGGCACCTGGGACAGCTGCAGCAGCTGCTGCTGCTTTTGGCCAATACCAGCCACAACAGCTGCAAACAGACCGTATGCAATAGCGGATGGACTTGTGAAGAAAGTTCTGTTTCTTACTCTTCCTATCTTTTTACCTTCAAGCCTTCCAGTAGAAATAGTTACAAAAAGAGGCAATTAACCTTAACCAATCCAGCTTTAAGGAAAGCTGCAATGCAATAGTGTATTACTACAAAAACAGATTCCGCTGTCTTTGTACAGCATGCATCCATATCATGGGTGGTATTGTGGGGTGGGTATCGTAATATCAGTCCAAGCATCATCCCTATCATGAAAGGATGGCAGAAGTAACAAAAAGAAGCTTATATTTAAAACAAAACAAAAAACCAGTAAAAGATGCATTTTACATTATCAGGGAAAAAAGTCCAGGTGAGCAATATGTAGCCTGTATCAAGTTGAAGATGACTATTATTTAAATGTTGAAAGCACTGACTGTCATTACTACTTTTCATTATGGCCTACAGAACTTTGTTTGAATGAGTAAGAAAAATGCTTTCTGACTATCTCTTAATGGGCATCGAACAAACTAGGGAACGTGGCCTTTTTGCGGGGGGGTTGGGGGGAAAAGGTGGACAGGCACCAAAGTTATTTTCTCATCTGTCCTCTGTGTGAATGGGACTATGGAGCAAGTGATGTGGAATTAATGGGCGCAACAGCTGTACAGACAATCAATAACACAGACCGATCTGGAAAGAACACATCACTTGTGCTCGTTTGATGAGCTTGTCACATTCTAATCCCTCTCTCCATCCTGTTTCACTTTTAGGAAACTTTGACTGCTGGTGTCAGCTATTCTGATTCTGAAATAGGATCAGCTCTTTACTACAGCAGCCTTCTCCTTTTATTTATTGTATCTATTCATGGCTTGCGAATAAAGGCAGGAAGAAATTTGCTGAATTTAAACCTTTAAGAACTGTGTTAAGGGAATTTTTATTTTATTTTTTGGAAATGATTTATATACAATTTAATACCTATTTAAAATATTTATTGGGAAAAAAGCATAGGTCTCTCATGAGACTGCTTGTTGAGATTGCAGTTCTTCAAGGGTTAATGCTAAGTGGGTTATATTGTGCCTTAATTGTAATGCTATTTAAAGATATATTTATTTTGAAAGTTGTACTATGCTGCACTCTAAAGAAAACAACTTTAGATGTGAAACTGTAAAATTATGTATTCATCTCATGGTATAAGTTATTTAGTAGGTTTAGCTATAGTGTACGAAATATTAACCTAATCAACTAAAATGCTGACATGGGTTTATTTAAATTCTGTTGGTACTCTTTTTATAAGGGTACTTTCAATACTTTTTTTTTTTAAGGTTTTGATCTTAAAAATGCTAGTTTCATGCTTTTCCCACGATCACTTTAACCATAAACCTTTTTTCTTGGAAGAAAGCTCTTGATTTCAGTGGAACTTTCCCCCAAGAAATCAAGAAATCCTTTGTTTGGCAAAGGATTGGGTTATAAAGCTATAATACTCTACACACTTGCTCAGGAGTAAGGCCCAAATAATGCATTACTGTTGTGCTGATAGGAACTGTTTCTGTGGTCTGGCCAAGCACCTCACCAATAATGCCTGCAAATGGGAACCATGTAGATCAGGTGAGTGATGTGGGAATTGACCATGTGACTGTTACAATGTGATGGGTTCCTAATTCTAGAAAGTGTTGGTAACACACAGGACTGGGCAACACAGAAACAACTCCCGGGTCACAGGGGTAATATGTAAATGGGACTAAGTCCCTTTCCTCTGAACTTAATGAGACTTAGTTCGAACTAGATAAATGGAATACTGAATCTGAAGCTCCATTTTTAGATGTGCTATGTGGAAATAAACTCCCATGAAATTATCCACATAGTGTGTTATGGGTAGGTTGTCAGAATTTCCTCCTATCAAAAAAGGGGTAGGTTTTTTTTCCACTTTTCATCTCTTTGTAGAACAACTTTTATTCCTTTGCTAGGAAACGCTGCTTTACATTGTCCTGTGAAACTGCAATAACTTGCAATTTTTATTCTTGACCTAAAAAAGGAATTTAATATTTTACACTGTATTGGAAATCTTTTTATACTTGAACAATTTCGTACAAGGGAAGACAGGATAGCATTTTTATGGACTTTATCCAATGTCACTGGATTTATTTTAAGTATTTTGAGTACTAGCCAGTGTTATATAAGGTAGATAACATGACTCTCATGTGCATGTTATTTATTATGTATATTGCTTTATAATGTTTCAAATCTTCTAATCTATACACTTGTATTAAAAAAAATAAAAATATTGTTGAATCCAACCTATTTAGTCTTGCAAAAAAAAAAAAGTTTCTTTCCATATCAAGATGCCTCTATGTGTTTTCTAAAGTTCCTAGTTGTGAGAAGAGCAAGTTCAGTGATTTCAAAGATGCACATCAAAAGACAACTGAAGCATTGCCTGGCTTGTTCAGTACTGTACAATACTGTGAATCTTAAGCTTTAAGGCTCAAGCGAGTACTGCTTCATACAATACATAATTAACTTGTGGAATTTATTATGCAGTTGCACCACACGCTAAAGGTAAAGGACCCCTGACAGTTAAGTCCAGTCGCGAACGACTCTGGGGTTGCAGCGCTCATCTCACTCTATAGGCCGAGGAGGCCGACGTTTGTCCGCAGACAGGTTTTCCGGGTCATGTGGCTCCATGACTAAGCCACTTCTGGCGAAACCAGAGCAGTGCACGGAAACGCCGTTTACCTTCCCGCCAGAGCGATACCTATTTATCTACTTGCACTTCGTGCTTTCGAGCTGCTAGGTTGGCAGGAGCAGGGACCAATGGGAGCTCACCTCGTCGCTGGGATTCAAACCGCCAACCTTCTGATCGGCAAGCCCTAGGCTCAGTGATTTACACCACAGCGCCACCTGCGTCCCACTGCACCACACGGTAGCAGGCTGTAAATACAATGATACTTTCTGGCTTAGTAGCAGATACCCATGATGATTGACAAAGTAATCCTAAAAGGAATGGCAGTGGCAGGGAGTGAAGTGGTGGATTGCCCACCCCTTCCAAAGTCATACTACTGACACCAGGCAGGGCAGGAAGTTCTGATTTTCTTAACAGCAACACACAATTTGGTTTCTTGGGGAGCCAGAATTCGACCAGCTTAAAGTGCAATTGAGGGCTCTGGCTCCAAAGCCACTTTCATCCAGGCCCTGAATGCCCCATTCTGGGTCCTACTGGCAATGAAGGGGGAAACACTGAGCTCTCTCCCTGCTCCCTTCATTATTGGATTATTGAACCATCAGCTCCATATAGGCAAAAGAAGCTCAAGGTTTTCAGAAGATAATGCGGAGATATATATTTTTTAATGCTACTATGGTATATTTAAGCAAATAAAATAAGGTTGGGAGATTGGAATATCAATGATGCAACTTCATCCTAGGGGGGCAGGAAGGGGGACCACCACAAAACACCAGAAGCAACGTTTATTGAACAACATGTTGGCAGAAAGTTAAAAGAACTATGGGAATAGTATACTGTTCTGAGGGAGTGGTGTTTCTAGGAATATTATAGTAAATAGTTTTTCTGTGCCAACATCTGGAAAGGCACTAAAATAAGTGAAAATGAGAATTTGAGATTTACAGGAAACAGCTGTGAAGTGTGAAAACAATTGTGCCTTTCAGTCTTCAGTAAGATGTAACTTATCAGCAGTTTTCTCACTTGTAATTGTTTTCAGGGGTATTAACACTACATCCTCTTCTTTTTTAACTGTAGTGCTAGATCAGGCATAGGCAAACTTGGCCCTCCAGATGTTTTGGGACTACAACTCTCATCATCCCTAGCTAACAGGACCAGTGGTGGGCCGAGTTTGCCTATGCTTGTGCTAGATCAGAAAGAAGGTGCAGTCCCCTGCCCCACTGAATATGTAATTCCACAAACTGCAGAAACTAATACTGGTGCTGTATATTGAGACAGAATAGTTAGTAATACACGTGTACCACATATAATGATTTTAAGGAAACTACAACTCATTTAGTATACTATAAAACAGGAGAGAGACCAAGAGGCAGGTGAAGAGTCACAGGTGTCTCCCCCTCCTGCTGCGACAAGCTCCCCTCCCACTCGTCTCCCAGAACCAAGAGAAGCATGAGAAGGGAGAAGTTAATTTTACACAGGCGTAGTTTCAGATTGCTTGGGGGAAACCCTAGAGAGGAGGGGACTTCGGCAGCTGTGGGGAGGTGGGAGCGTTCAGTCTCAGTAAATACTTCATGGGGGCAAGACTTACTACAGAGATAAGCTGCTGTGCTCATTAGGCCTGACACTCCTGTGCAGATACAGTTTTTGCTAATAAAGAGTTAACTCCAATGGTGTGATTTACTGCTGGCTTGCTCCTGTCACAAACTCTGGAAAACAGCTTGTCAAGATGTTTTAGATTTTTATTTCCCTGAACTGCGTTCTACTTTGACCTTGAATAAGTGTCAACTAAGGCATTGGCTCTTCTAAGTAGAAGCAAAAAGGGACCTGCAAATAATTAGAAACACCAAAATTTCCACTTGGCACCCACTCTTGAGAACAGAGTATATTACAGCTAAGTTATTTGACCAAACTCTCACCAGTTTCCTTAATAAATAATAATTTCTTTATTGAATTGTGTTTCCAAGTGATCCCCACTGCAGTTTGGGATGGCTGCTACAACAAGGTCCCTTATGCAGACAGACTTTGTATTTGTGGTCAACCCCAGGTGGAAGACATCACACATTATCTGTTAGCCTGCCTCTTATATAGAGACCCAAGAAATCAAGCTGGATTTGAATTTGGTGTCTTTGGCATTTTCTTACATCATGGATGTTGGCTCATATTATGGGTGTATGATCTGTATTCTTTTATTGGTACTGTTGCTGTGGGTTTGTCATGGCCTATGGCTAGAATAATAAACATATTGATTGATTGACTTTTCATGGGTAATAAACAAACACATATTTCTGGGCCTGTTTCAAAGCGTGCCCCCCATCAGATATTTAAATCCATTTTATCTCTTACTTTAAATAGACATTTGCTGCAATGCTTCAAGTAATTTACCATTGCTTACTGCACTAAGCTTACTTGATTAATAAAGAAGTTAATGTGGTATGCCCTTTGGAAACAAATTTATATTTCATAACTTCTAAGTCCCTAATATAAAAGTATTTTGAATTCAGCAAGGTGTGCCAACTTGAATAAAATAATGGGGGGGGGGCAGGTAAGCCCCGCCTCACATAATCGATCACAAGATGTGGCATGCACATACCATTTGATTGATTCATTATTTATTTATTTATTTATTTATTTATTTATTTATTTATTTCAATGCAAAATTACAACAAAAATTACATACATAAAATCCAAAAAAAGGAAAAAAACAACTACAAAGAAAACCTTGCTGTCATAATAATCTTTACGTAAAGGTAAAGGTACCCCTGCCCGTACGGGCCAGTTGTGACCGACTCTGGGGTTGCGCGCCCATCTCGCTTAAGAGGCCGGGGGCCAGCGCTGTCCGGAGACACTTCCGGGTCACGTGGCCAGCGTGATGAAGCTGCTCTGGCGAGCCAGCACCAGCACAGCACACGGAAATGCCGTTTACCTTCCCGCTATAAAGCGGTACCTATACATCTACTTGCACTTAAGGGTGCTTTCGAACTGCTAGGTGGGCAGGAGCTGCGACTGAACAACGGGAGCTCACCCCGCCATGGGGATTCAAACCGCCGACCATGCGATCGGCAAGCCCTAGGCGCTGAGGTTTTACCCACAGCGCCACCCGCGTCCCTAATCTTTACGTACATATACACATATTGACTTTGAATGGCAATACCCATCAACTTGGGGGGACCCCCGCCCCCTCAAATATTTTATGAGTGGGGGACAAAGGGAACTCGGCCCCTAGGAACTGGCGCCTATGTACGTATTGCTCAAGCATTGAAACACATTTTGTTAGCAGACTGGACATGTTAACCTGTACCACGTAGCATGTTTTAAACATCACACTTACTGCCCCAACGTGTTTAAAGGCTGCTCATTTCCCTTGATCTCTGAATGTCTTAGGCAGGGCACGATCCAGTTGTTCTTTTGCATCCTCTCCTAGTGGCCTCAAGCCCCTATCCGTGTATGTAGCCTTTTCACAAATTAAAAGCAGTGTTTGTAGGACAGCTGTGTGCATTTAACAGCACATTTAAGGGACTCGCTGGGTCAAGCCTGCAATATCCCCCAACACTTCAGGTTTCATACTATCTACTCAACCTTTGCCAATAACTTCATGTGGGGAAATGTGTTCATAATCCTGTTACGAAAACTGAAAAAGAGAGAGGTAGACTTGCTTTTTGGATTAAGGATAACTTGCAGCTCTGCATAACTATCAAGTGCTATCAATAATCCATGACGACATGTAGAACTCTATTAATAAGAAATGCTGTTATGTGGAAAAGGCGAAGCTGGTGTGGTGTCCTAGTTCCAAAGGAACTGAATACTCACTGTGACACAGCATCTTATACCTTCCCGTATTAGATCATCCAATATATTTGACACAGAGGAATTGTAACATGGCATGGTCATACTAGTCAAATTCTGGAAGGTGGTCTAAACAGACACGAGCAATACATTCCACAAGATATAAAATATAAGTAACCACATTTTAAAAACCGTTCATAATATTTCGAGGATGAATCAGGACACAGGAAGTTGTAGGGAAGCAGTGATGCACAAAAATAATACAATTTAAAGTATAATTCTGGTTCTATTTCCAGAATGCTAGAATGAAAATTGCCTATTATAACCATGGAAGGAAAAAGAGTACAGACATGCATAACAATCAGAAGAGTGCGATTTCATATGAGAAAAGGCTAAAAAAGCTTATGACTCAGTCCTAGATTGTGCTGAACAGGTAAGATGTGCATTAGTTTTACATCAAATTGATAACAATTTGCAACAAGTTCAATTAGAGGAACATAGTGGGAAAATCCAATATACTTTCAGTTATTACAGCAATAGGGGTTCTATTTTCATGGATTATATATTGCATAGCAATTTACATTTTAAAAAATACTTTGAGCTCATGGCACATATCCTTACCATTCAGTTTGCAATGATAAATGTAGCTATATAGCTCATCTCTTATGAACCTGATGGACTATCCACTGTCCAGTTCAAATCTATGTTCTCCTAATAGCTGGCTTTATTATGTGAAAAGAGTAGAATACTCACACAAGTCGGTCATTTTCAAAACTGATGACACTTAAAAGGAAACACCTTAAATCAACCTGTAGCTGATGTCTTGTATGACCGCTCACT